TAAGGTGATAGATTCTGAGCTGGGTCGAAGTTCATACACCATGGAATCTATAGCTATGTTCGCAAACCTGGCATCACGATGTGTACGTCGTGAGAGCACTGAGAGACCCTCCATGGCAGAATGTGTTAAAGAGCTCCAGCTGATTATCTATACAAATGCGAAAGGCTTGGGAGCGGCCACAACTCCTAATAAAGCCATGTTCTAATTGGAGGGTGAAGACTATGTACAACAAAATAGAGATCCTTTACTTCTTCTAATAAAAGAGTTGTAGAATCTTCAAAGCTTGTGGACCTATGATCTTAGAAACAAGACCCAAGAAGAGCACTTGATAAGGATTGAGAAAAACAGAATGCAATGAGTGAATATATCAGATAAAAACATCATCCCAAAAATGATCAAAATTGAAGTTCATTTTCTTGTATCATTCTGTCAATTCAGAGAATCTAAATTATGCACTGTTAATTCCGGGAATACATAACATTTAGTATATATATATTTCCCTTTTGAGTTTACAAGGCAGAAAGGACCATATTATAGTTCATACATCTCTACAGTTCTTTAATCTATTTCCGCTAGAATTATTCAAGAAAAAAAGCAAATACTGATACAACAAACACCAAGGCCAGACAAGGAAAGGGAGGGAGGGGTTTATTTGGAGCAAATTATGTATATAAACTCTTTGATGACTGTGTATTCTAGTTTGAATCTTCCAACTCGACTGGTAATATACAGGAAGAAAAGAAGTTCCCATTTTTCAGCAATAAATGATATCTTTTGACCTTTTATACGACTTATAAGTTAAAAAACAGAGTTGATTATATGCTACCACAATTCTAGAATTCTTTATTAGGAAAATAATTCTTTATATAATAACTTCAGGATAAAAAATATACAATATCTAAATCACCTGTATCAAAACTGGAGTTGATCTGGTCATTACGTTTGCAAACTGGAGTTGTCTAGGACTACATATGATATACAAGAAATGCAAATGCCTGATAAGTTTACCTGCAACAAAGCAAGTCTCTACCATACACATAACAAAATGCAGGCAACAGTTGCTGGCACATAGGATCAAGCATTCTAGGCAAATTTCAACCCAGCTGGATAATCTTCACAACCTCAAAGGTCTCTCTAATCATCTATCCTGAACGAAAAAAACAAAAACAAAAACAAAAAAGGATTTGAGGAACAAGGAAACAGAATGAGATTTGACTGCAACAACTTACAAAAAAGATCATTGACAAATAAAATAAGGAGAGAGAATTAGAGACAGTAACAGAAAAGGATGAAGTACTCTGTGTAGCAGTAACTGCATGTACCTCATAAACACGTATTTTGATTTTCACATATACATTCATGATGTTAATTCCTCTTCAGAACAGAATGTATCTGATTCTGAAAAGCTGGTTAAGACTGGAAGTTTCTTGCACATTAAGTGCTTGCGCCTCTGCAACAGCAACATAACCAAAATGTTATCCGTCTTTACAATGTCGTAACCTGCTTTTTTGTACATGTTGAATGGAGCTGTATCAATCATTCTGCAATGCAAATACGCCTCTCTTGAGGAACTCATCTGAGATATAAGTTCCTCGCTTGCCTTCAAAAGATGCCAGCCGATGCCCCTCCTGAAAATTGAAAAACCCATAATCTTATATCCGGTCTCATTCGAGACATTGTGAAGAAATCTTCTATCTTTTGAATCTAGTGATATATGCTGAGAAGTTTTGTGATCAGTCATAGTTCGTAAAAGAGTGTCAATTATGAATAACCACATTCAATCTACCCATCATAACAAGAAAACATTATGACAAGCTGACAAGCTGACAAGTACCCAAATTTGCCAATTACAAGCTATAAACTAACATGCCCGAGATTTATAGTGCTAAGTAACATTTAACAGACAAGTATATAAGCAGAACAAACAGTTGATAAAGAAATAAAAGCATTGGTGGTTCTGAGTAAGAAAAGCCTTAATTGGAAAAGCAAAACGAACCTCCTAAGCGACTTCTTCACCGCCATGTTGCTTATATAAGGCGAGTTCTTGGGAGGAGTGGGTGTAGGAGGAGAAGCGTTGGCACCCTTTTTGTCAAAGCAAACTTCCACAGTCCCAGCCAAAAATTCAACTTCATCCACTTCTTCTTCATCTTCTGTGTTTTTTTCTTGTTGTTCTTCACCCTCTTCTTTACGTCTTCTGTAAAACCCAATAAGCGTGGCAGTGTGTGGCGATAGTTCCATCCGCTCAAACAAGTATTGCTTGACCAAGTAGCCCAACACAGAGACATATCCAGAAGGCAAAAGCATCGACTCTGCAAACGACTCAGACAGCAACCCAACAGTGATGTCCATTTCCTCCGGCCTCATCACCCGAACCCACATCGACCCAGATTCCAATTCCTGATAATACCTGAAATTCTCAAGCAATTTGAGTTGCTCGAGCTCTTCACTGCTCAGAAATCGACCTGTTCTAAGTGGGTATTCAAGAAATGACGAAGATGTTGTGGTTGTGCTTGTAGTTGTAGCTGTATCAGTAGCAGTTGTATCAGAAGCAGTTGTTGTTGTTGTTGTTGTTGAAGAATGAGATGGAGAGGAAGAAGATTTGAAAGCGGAAGGGTGTGATTTATGGAAAATAGCAAGTGGGTATTTGGGGAAAAGAGTTGACGTCAGGGGAGAGAAGGGAGGAAGGGGAGTTTGGTGAGGCTTGAAGTGGGTTGTGTTGGAAAAGAGATGGTGGTGCTGTGGATCTAAGGAAAAAGAGAGTGAAACTGTTGCAGCCATAGAACTCTCAACACTCTGCTTGATTGCAGTGAGCGAGTGGATGAGAACACAACAATTACTTTTCACTTTGTTAATTGGTTTGGTTCGAAATCTCTTTTTCTTTCTGTTCTCTATTGATTCTTCTCCCCCTATCTTGTTGACACTTGTCCTGACCCCTCTGAGTTTTGCTAATAAATTTCACAGAAGAGAAAGAGCTTCTTCCATATGGGTTCATGGAGCTTTGAGAAACTCTTTGGTGGTTTTTTGTGGGAATGAGGAACAGAGGCCCAAATGATGGCCCAACAACTGGGGATGGCCCAGGTGGGCAAGAAAAGAATAGAAAAATATTTATGGATCTTGGTAATATTTTGAAGTCTATATGTCAATTAGAATGTAAAGGGAGTTTCTTTCATTGAATTTGGAGACAGTTTCACAAACCACAAACAAACTTGTTTATTGATCCTTCTTGGAATGTAAGCATCATGTGCATGCATGAGAATGGAAGCTAATCCCTGTTGAGTTTAGAAATTTCCACAACTGCTAATCACAGATTAGAAATTTCCATCCTCCCAAGAAATTAGATTCTCATCTCACTGAAATTTATGACCAAAGAGGAAACAAAAGGATCAAAATTGAAGCAAAGATACAACAAAGACACAAATTTGCATCCACACAAATTCCTGAAAAGGATATTTGAAGGCTGGAAAAATTGTAGGCAACGTGGCAAGGTTTACATTATGGATTCTAAGAAAACCCACAGGAACTGCCATTGATCTTTTAAGAATTCTACACCACTTCTTCCAAATGAATTCATTTGTACAATATATAGACCAAAATGGAACTACCTTCCAAAACATACAGATTATAATATGTCATTGATCTTTTAAATCTTCTTGTTTTCTTCCATTGCAGGAGAGAGAGCCCAAACGAAACCACTCAACTCAATACTTGTTTGTCTTCTTCTTCTTTTGGCTTTCTCTCAGAGCTATTAACCACCACCAGCCAAATTGAGAATAAATTTGAAAGAAACAGACCCACCAATCTGATATACCGCAATAACTCATTTTGCTCATCCTTAATTCACTGACCCTGATAATTCCATTTGTTCAGAACCTCTAGCATTATCTCATTCCATGTGTCTATAGGCCCTGGCAAGCACCAATGAACACAATCATTTTGGACCCTCTCTTGAACCCCATCAACTAATGGAAATGGATTCATATAAGGCCCTGGATGACCATCTGGCCTCATCAGTGATAATTTGGTCACATCCAATGCTTGCAGCCTAAACCCTGCAAATTTTTTACCATTTGCCTTCGCAGCTTCTACTTCTTCAACCTCAAGTTGCCTCATCTCAGCATCCATTCCTTCAAGCTGCTTCTCTCCCTCCATGTAAGGCTTGGTCTTGGGGCAAGCCCCTGCCTTGTCCCACTCACCTTCAAAATGTGCAGGTGAAAATGTTGTCACAATTACATTAACCCCATTGCCATTAGCATTAGCAACTCTCCTTTCAATTATGGTCTTGAGGGTAGTCTTTATGGCTTTTCTCAGCACATCATAGAAACCAATCTCACTGTGATTAAGACCAGGGCAGTAATGGCAGCCAAGAACTGAATCACCCTCAAAATAAACTGCTGGATGTAAAAACCAATGCCCAACAGACAACACAATCATGTCCATTTGACCCATATCCGCTGCCCACCTTTCATTAACTTGATCCAAATACAACCTGTTGTAATTTGGACCATCTTGTGATTTCTCAATACCTTTCACAAGAAATGGTGACCAATAAACTGACACACTGACATTGTGAGAAGAAAAATGCCATCTTCTAAACTTGTTCTCCTCACCATCAGTATAAACAAGGTTAGGAGGAGAGACAGTGGCTAGCATGCAAAGAAGAGACTCCAATTGGTTCCTGGCCATGGAGTCACCCACAAATGCTATGTGTTTGTTCCTAAGGATTTGGAGAAAAGTGTTGGGTTCAAACCTTGGTATGTGGCATTGCTTGGGTTTCCACCTCCAAAAGAGATAGCCCAAATCAGGTCTCCCATGGGTGATGCAATTCTGTCCTTTCTTGATTGTACCACAGGTGGTACCATTGTACAAAGGGCCCAGCTTGTCTTGGACCCAATCCCCACTGGTGTAGTCACATGGAGTCTCTTTACCTGTTTCTACTTCTGCACAAAACACCGACATACAAAATCCTTGTTAGCCATGAGAAATTACCAAGTTCAAGTACCAAAAAACACCCATGTGAGCAAATTAAAGAAATCTATGACAGAGAGAGCATATATGTATGTAGTTATGAGTACCTTGAGAAGACGGAAAAGGAGGCAACGAAGAAGGAGAAGAAGAAGATGATGAGGTGGTGCTGATGGTAATGGCAGTGGAATGAGGGAGCTGATCTGTGGATTGAGGGAGAGAGGGAGTGTACAAGTATAAGCGAATGACAGCTATGGGGAGGATGACATAGATGGCATAAGGTAAGAGCTTTCTGGCAAGAGAGTGATGAGATGGGTCTTTGAATGGGCTTGTTATTGTACCCATCTCAAAACCTTCTTCCTTTCTTCTTTTCTCCACACTGTTTCCTTTTTCTGTATGCTATATGATGGGAAAGCGAAGAGGAAGAAAGTGTTGTTTTCTTGGGTTGGCTTAAGCTTCTAGAGAGAGAGAGAGAAGGAGAGAGAGAAGGAGAGATGTGGGGTGATTCAGTCAAAGAAGCATTGAAAATCCCATTATCTCTCTGGTTTGCCAACTAATTCCAAACCATTGGCGTTGTTATTGTTGTTGTCTTCTCTTCTGTGGGAAACATGTGGTACTCTGCTTGTGCTTTTCCTTTCTTTTTCAGATAAATTTTCTTTTGGTACGTCTTCTCTTCTTTGCTATTTTTCTACATTTTTTATTTGGGTTGGCTTTCTTGTCTTGTACATTGGTAGAAGAGAGAACAATTATTAGCTCCCTTTGTTTTTTTTAATCTAGGCTGTGACAAGGTCGCCACCAACATAATTGGTAAAGTTCCTGTAATGTAATCTGTACTTTCGAACAGTAAATACCTCAAATGGCCCTTGTAGTAGGTTTGGGGAAGGATGTGATTGTCTTTGATCATTGCAATTATAGATGTCTTTGAGGATGATCAATTTTATCCTATCCTCATGCATTGAGGATTAAGAGCAATTTCAAATCACGATACGAACTATTTTGTACCACATCTTTAATTTACTTTCGGGTAATTCGTATCTTGAATTTTTTAACAAAAAATTCATAGAATAAATTAAAACCCACTAACAAATTGGTATTTGGTAATGATGATGAGGAAAAGTGGTACCTACTTCCACATGCTTTAAAACAAGTTTCAATTTGTTGCCACGTACCTCATACCATCAACACCATTTTTGTTATTTATGTTCCTGTCAATTTCGAAAGAGAGCTTTACAGTTTGCCATGTCTCCCCACCACTTGGGTTGGGCAAAACCATCACTGCTTGTATGCCCTGCCTTGCTTAAGCTTCTTCTTCCAGATCTTTCATGGAGCTAACTCCATGATATCGACTCTTGGCAAGTTGAGTTAAGTTGCCATAATTATATATTAATTGAGTGAAATGCATACAGATGTAGATGTCCAGCTACGATACATGATGACTCCCCCAAGCCCAACTACTTATAAAAAGGCAAGTTGCATCGTGTAAAGTAATAAAACAAAAACCACTCATAATAATAATGTGAAACAACAACAAAAAAGGTTGTATCATTGTTTTCATATCAAGCCATCGGAGTCGGTGGAGTTTTTTTTCTTTTAGCAGGAGTCGGTGGAGTAGTTTTTACATCTTTGATTTTATTTTTTCTTATTTAGAATTGTAAGTAGAGAGCAATAAGCTCGTAATGAAAAATAGTGCGAAAGATTCAGATCCAATCTGGGCAACGCAGGTAAGTTCCAGAATAAAACACGTGTATATAGATAGGGTTAGGAGTGTTAAGAACAAGTTTGGTTTTGAAATTTGAAATGGTACACATATAAAATGCTCCTGCTCGTTAATCGTGCCAACCACAATTGACTTTCATCCAACTTTGTTTGTTGGTAGAGTCGGGGTCTGCAACAATGATTAAATTAATGACACCTTTTAAGTTGGTTGAAATTGAATAGGTACATTAACCTATCTAATCTTATAGCATTTATAATGAACTTCTTGAACTACCTATTTAGATAAAATTTAGGGAAGAAGTAAGAAAACCCAGCTCCAACTATGCTTCTTATTCAATTCTTAAAACATGGAGACTTCTAGGAGCTCCTAAATCTGAGGAGAGAGAAATGATTCATAGTGGCTCTTTATAATTAAATACTACTTTACTTTAATGCGATTTTAATTATTTATTGGGAGTTTCACTAAAACACCCAAAATGGAGGTTGAAATTATAAAAAAACCCAACACCCAAAACACTTTATAAACACACTCAAAACCCATCATTACACACACTCAAAACCTATTTATAAACACACCCAAAAAGTTGACTTTGGGGTTGATTTTGGGTGTGAATCTATGTTTAAATAGTGCTTGAGTTTTTTTATAAATACATGTCTAGGATTGGGTTTATTTATAAATTTGTATTATTTATTTAATCTTAACTATTATTTATGGTTATTTTATATGAAGAATTCGCATTTATGTTAAACTAAAAATTATTTTAAAAAATTATTTATGATTTCCTAAATTAGAGAGGATGGTTGGAGTTGAAATTTCATAAGGAACTCTTAATTTTAACTAAAAAATAAGGAGTATGATTGTGATACTGAAGCACGTGAGATGCGAGTGGCCGTGGGTGGCATCATATACAATATAATATATACATTAGTATGTAAAAAAATGTTTATATAATATGTTATATATACGTACCTATATATAACTTAAATATGAATTATATATATATATAACGTATACATGTAAACACATATACACATGGATGCACGTTGTGGTACAGCGAAGGAAAAAAGAAACATTGTATCGGCATCAATTAATCATAGTCACTGTGAACTGCAAGAGTGCATCAATCATGTTAACTTAATGTCTAGGTCCGTATACACAAACTTTTAATGAATTACCTACCCTACCTCTCAATCTCATACTCTCAAAAATATTAGGCTTGTTTACATTAATGCCCTCCGAAATTACAGTTAAATTTTATATTGCCCTCCTAAACTTAAAGTAATTCACTTATTCCATTTCACCGTAATTTGGTGACCTACTTTGCCTCATGCCGTCAACTCCCTTCCAAAAGCTTGTTAATTATGTTAATGTAATAAAGGTTTTTTTGTAATCTTATATACATGGATCAGTATCCACCAATTAAGGAAGTGACGTGGCAAGTAGAGCCGAACTCCACATAGATAAGAACATAATTAAATATTCTAATGATTAAAACTAATTAAAATAAAACATTAAAAAAAATAATTTAGACCCCAGCTGCCCCAATCCTCAACCTCCATCCACACACACCCTTCTTCTCTCCTGCAAATACTATTGGAAGAAACAAACCCATCCCACCCCCAGCTCAGCCTCCCCAGCCATCGTCCCTCCTCCTCCCTTGACCAACCACAACAACAGCCACCCCTACCCCATCTCACGAACCCCCATCCCCATCCCCATCCTCAGCGTATCAATCCTACCCACGCAGCCCCCAGCCGCCTCCCCACCCACACAGCCCCACCTCGATCTCCCCAACCTGCGCACCTCACCAACCCTCAAACCCAGTAGCCCTGACCCAACCCAAAGCACCTCTTTGATTGGGGTTCTGCGAAGATGGGATATAGGTTTGAGAGGAGAGAGAGAGGAGGAGGAAATGGAAATTGGTTTCAGGAATTGTTTGTGGTGTTTGATACACGAGGGTTAGATGTTATGGTTAGTTGATAACTCGATAGGTTCTTATGGGATCTTATTGGATGGCTATAAGGTTGAATTTTATACTGTTTTGCGCATGCAATGCAATGTTGAATTTCATAATTGTTTATCTGGATCTATTGATTTACAAGAGATATAGTAATAGTATTGCGGATGGCTTTGAGGGTTGGGGAGGTGCTGAATGGGGTGGGGCTACTGAAATTTCTAGAGAAAATTTTCAAGTTATGGGTTTATGCTGTGGGTTGGGTGATTGGGTAGGGTTTGGATCGGATTTGTTGTAGGAGGTGGTGGCTGGGCATATGCCGTAGACCGGACTAAACAGCTGCTGTTTGGATTTTTTTGTTTTTGAGAAGATGGTCGGAGGATGGGGCGCGTCTAGAGGCAGAGAGAGGGAGGGAGAGAGGAAGAGAATGAGATAATAGAATTTATTTTAATTTTTTTGAAGAATTGTTTAATGTAGTTTTTTATGTTTTTATTTTTATTTTTAATTATTTTTAATTATTAGAATATTTAAGGGGGTTTTACTAAAACATCCAAAATGGGGCTGAAATTATAAAAAAACCTAACACCCAAAACATTTTATAAACACACTCAAAACCCATCATTACACACACTCAAAATCCATTTATAAACACACCCAAAAAATATACAATTGTTGATTTTGGGGTTAATTTTGGGTGTGTTTTTATGTTTAAATTGTATTTGAGTTTTTTTTATAAATATTTGTCTAGAATTGAGTTTATTTATGAATTTGTAAATATTTAATTATATGGAGGTGGGTTCCACTTGCCATTTCACCCATTTAATTGGTGAATAATGATTTATAAATACGAAATTACAAAAACGTCCATGTCACGTCATCAAAATTAATAGATTTTTGGACGAAAGTGATGGCATGGGCCAAAATGAATCATCAAACCACGGTTAAGAGGGAGAAATAAGCCATTTTAAGTTTGAAGGGCAATGTAAGATTTGATCGTAATTTAAGGGACATTGTTGTAAATAAACCAAAATATTATAACCTATATAGTGTAATGAATGAACATTTGAACGTTTGAACATTTATACATTTTACGACCCCAAAAAAAAAACATTTATGCATTTAAACGCCGTGCCCGGATACAGAGTGGTGGCCAGCTCACCTCCCACGATGGGGAAAAGAAAATGACAACGTGATGTTCTGTGGGCCCCACAGTCTGAACAAAGAATCTGGAAGAATAGAAGAAGAAGGACCACTGTGCTGTCCACAGACTGATGCACAGAAGTGTATGACAAGACAAGACAAGACATATTTTACTTCAAATAAAAACAAACCCAAAAATTAATGGGTTTCTTGATGAAGCAGTAGAGAAGTTTGATTTGGGTTAAGGACACTGGCCCAAAGTAAAAAAGTTGAAACAAACAATAAAGGCCAAGGCTTGCTTGGATTATTAAGATTTGGGCTAATTCCAACTAAGCCCACTAGCACATCAGGTGCAGCGAAAATAACTAGGGCTTTGTATCACAAATCAGAACTCCAATTTGGGGAAAAACCAAAAAAATAAGGGGCATGGCCATGGATGGCAGCAACGCGGAGGAGTTGGCCATTGGGTGCTTCGTCTCCATCAAGACCACCTTGAGTGACGAGTTTCAGGGGCAAGTCATCACCTTCGATCGCCCCTCCAACATCGTCGTCATTCATATCCTTCCCTGATCGCTATTATCAGTTGATTTAATCGTTTTTCCTTTCATTTTTACTAACCCTAGAGAAATTGAAGAGAAAAAAATGTGATCTTGCAATTTAATTTTCTTTAACTTTTGAGATTACAAGAGGGTTCGAAAGGAGGGTCTCGGCGGAACATAAGGCTGCTGAAGGCGAACTATATAAAGGAGTTGTCGTATTTGGGTCAAGCCGAAGACCCGCTTGATGTCAAAAACTGTTACCTTGATCTCAATAGTCTCCGCGCCAGAGAGGAATTGGCCATTAGGTAATTCATGAGCTACCCAATTGGAATTTTGTTGAATAGTTGTTAATTAAGTGTTTTTTTCTTTGAAAAAGAATTAATGAAGTCTTTGGTTGCGTTTGATGATTGCAGACAAGCAGAGGCAGACTCCGAGAGGATTGGTGTTGGGGTCACCAGCCAGGCCCAGAACATTTTCGACGCCTTGTCTAAGACGTGAGTGCTTTATCCAATTATTGCTTGCTAATCTAGTTCGTAGCTGAAAAACGATGAGGATAACTGAATCTGCATCATGGTTATCCGCAAAAGCAACCCATTTCCCTGTAAAATGAAAATGTTGTTTCATGAAGCCGATTGTACTGAATTTCTTAATTAGAAGTGGACTTTAAAATTTGTTGAGATAGAATAACTTAACTCTACAAGACTTGTTCTTTTGAAGTAGCTTAAAGATTTGAAATTTATGAGATTTTAGGTCTGCATGTGTATGCATGAGGAGAAACCAAACAATTTTTTTGATATTTTCACTGGTTGGAGAGCTTTTGAATTTGATAGATTGATCATTCTTACATGAACACAGATGCAAAATGTAAAATTTCAAGACTTTAGTTACAGTGTAGATCATTCCATGGTTGGGACTTGTGGAAAGTTTATAATTTTCAAGTTTGGAAAGTTTACATTTCCTGGACTGAGTGTAATTGGTGATGATGATGATCAGGCTTCCAGTGCGCTGGGACAAGACTGTAATAGTTGTGATGAATGCGGTGCGTGTAAGCAGTCCATATACTCCGGAGTCTGTCAGTGGAGGAACACCTGCTGCCAATGAGCGGGTGAAGAAAGTGGTAAGATACTTAAAGGATCACACTATTTATTTTAGGCTGATTTTTATCAGGGAAACTTAAGCCACAAATGCACAAACAAAATCTGAGCACCTGAGATGCGATTGGCCAAGCCAACTGCATACATATATACACATATGCTAACATATTCAAAATTTGCTTTTAGCTTGAGCTTGAGAGGAAAAGGTTGCAAACTCGTGGCAGTGGTCAATGATGGATTCAGGTTTGCACCTGATTGGCCAATAGGAAAAGACTTTTCCCTCGAGGGATAAATCATGATGGGTATGTAGGTACACTCAACCTTCTCTGAGGGGAACATGTTATCTATTCTCTTGAGACATTTGAACGCCTGAATCAAAGAATCAATCCAATACATATCATTCGATCTGTAGTTCTTTGGTCTTGCCAACAATTGGCTCGTCTGTTGTGTTTGCTATTGCTCATGACTTGAGTTTGAGACGGTTTGTATGCTATTAAGAGATTGAGTTTTACACCATCGCTATACCCCTGTTGAATATTTGGGGAATTGCTAATTAATTGTGCATTTCTCGCCGTTGTCACACCAGGGGCAAGTAATCTGATAAGACTTGAAAAGTTAATAATTCTGAATTTGTTTGGCATTTATGTTGTATGCTGCATTGTATACCAGAGTACAGTTAAATTTTAAGTTATGGGCTTTCCTCACAACTCAAGATTAGCACGATAGGTTTAAAATTTTACTTCAAAATTGATTTTGAAATGAAAAGAATAGTCAATTTGATCTATTCCGGTAGACTGACCTGGCTCCTAAGGTTGAATAGGAGAAGAGATGTCAATTTATTTTTAGTTTAGAGATAGGGTAACGGTTGAGGGAAAATTGGATTTGTCCTGTGTTGGCTAGTTATGGTTCTCTCGAGTGTTGGTCAAACAGCATCCTTGTACATATGAAAGTAGCAAAATGTTTGTGGGTCGGTGTGTAGAGACAGACTGAGGTGGTGGGGAGGAAATGGTGAGGACAGAGGAGTGTTAGGTGTAGGATCTGTTTACTAGTCTAAAGTAAAATAAAGTTGCTCCTTTTGAGGGAGATTTTTCTAGATATCTGGGTTCTCGATGAACCCAAGAAGACCAATTTTCCAATGCATCATTTGTATTTGGAGATTTCATGTTTGAATTCGTACAAGTATATAGGTAAAAGAAACCATGGATATACACGGTTTTGAATTCTAAGAAGTTAAGAAGGATTTAAAATTAAAAATGTAAAATGGTGCGTGATTTGTAAGCAACTGGAAGACCATGAAATGAAATTAACTAAGGCTACAATTAACAATTTGAAACGGGGCTAGCATTTGTAGAGCAATTTTAACACGTAACCGTAACCGTCATAGAAAGGACATGATTAACCAGGCCCCATCCAACTGTGGCCACTCCGTCCCAGTTTTGAATGAGATTTACTTTCGAGACCAGGAAAGTAAAAAGATAGGGCAAGAACGCTGTTCCAAT